AGAACACACAAATTATTTGTATTTTAAACCATTAACTTTTAACACTGTGAAATAAGAGTGAGACAAAAATTAATTAACAAAAAGTTTATTGGTTATGCAGTCTGATCTCCCCTATTAACTAAATGAGATATTCTCTTGTCTTGGTAATAGGACACAAGCTCAATGCCTATAAAAGGACATACCTTGTGGTATCATAATAAAATATCTCATTAAATAAAAATTTCAGACTGCTCATACAATGCATTTATTTCTCTTGTTTTGTGTAACTTTCTTTCGATATTTTTTTTAACTTTAATGATTTTAAAAAGCAAAATTCTTTCTTACAACAATATAGTTAATTGTGTAGATAAACTTCCTAGATTATTTATGCAGAAAATATAAACAATGCAGTTGTAAAATTACTTAAATATGGCCGTCATATTTTGACAGTGCATATCTGGTAAGCTTTCTTTGGATATATTTACTTTTAATGATCTAAAAACAGAATTCTTATATGAGACAGTAGAGTTAATTGTGTAGATAAAAGTCCTAGATTACTCATGTGGAAAATATAAACACTGCAATTGCAAAATTACTCAAGTATGATATCATTGTCAGTGTTTTCACAGTATGCATAAACTGGTATTTACATAATTAACACATCTATTCATATTATATTCATATAATTAATATGCCAACATTTTTAATTTATTTCTGTTTCTTTTCTTAATTTTGTTAGCTTTTTGTTTTTCCAGTCATAGACTTTTTTTTATCTGATATGTTTATGTAGTAGAAAATACCATTGACAATATAAATGAATATCAAAATGTAAAATAAATAAAATGTAACTCAAACTGCAGATGATGAATTTAATTCTCACTAAGTGAACTTTAAACAAATCTGACCTTATTTGTAAAAATATCGGTCAATTGTAAGAGTAAAGAAAGGGACTATAAAAAGAAAGGGAAATAAGAAAGATGGATGATTGTAAATATTCATTGAATTTGATTCCACGATTATAAATTTTATTTATCTCAAAACCATGTTTGTGTATAAGCTGGTTTATTCTTAACACAATATATCATATGGCTTACTGTGGGATCAGACATGGACAAAGATTTTACAAGTGTATTTTATATTTAGAAGAGTATTTTATATTTTTTGCAAGTCTTCCAATGGACAATATCAGACAGACATGTTCTCTACAATTCCTCTTCTTACTTCAAGATATTGGTGATCATGGCTCTCCACATTTTTCTGTATTTTGCTTTGTTTGTTTTGGATATGAAACTGAGCAGGTATAGGTTTTCTAGAATAATTGAATTAGGATGTCTGCATTCCTTAAAAGGGTAAAAAGATCCTTGTTGAGCTCTGATGCTCTCTATGGCTGAGCAATCTAAATCACACTAGCATACCAAATGGTGGTCTCTCCTACAAAGGAGGATGCAGGTTCAAACCCTGCTGGAGAGCATATTTTCTTTCTTTAGTTTCTTGAGTGCACAGGCCAATAGATATAATACACACTGTTTAAAATAAAAAAAAAACATGATGTCTATTTCAAACATGGGTATGCACTAAAAAAATATCATTTGGCATAATATAAATATACTATATAAAAAAATGTGCAATTTTCTTTCCAGTTAAGTCAAGAATTTCAAATTTGATATTTGAAAGTTTCAATTAGCATTTATTTGCTCAGAAAGACTATAAATATGGGATCTGATAATAAGTTCAATAGATTTATCAGACATCTGTCTTTGATGAGCATCTCAATGTAAAACTCTTGTGTTGGCTAATCAGATAAGTTACTTGAACTTAATTTATTGAATAAAATCTTTCTATTGAAACATTTTTTTTCAAGATAATAGGTTTCTCATATGCAGTAACTGTTATTGCTCTTTCCAGTATTGATTGGGAGTAGGAGGTGGTGTCTTTCCTAACCTTTTGTTTGAGGTAACGTGGAATGTTAGCATCTTGGTTATGTCATTATTCTCTCTTCAAGTTACATGTGCTATTCATCTTAGTTGTTGCTGCTGTTGAAAGTCTTCAGTGATGTGGTTTCTGTTATCTGGTACAGTTCTTTGTGATTCTCTAGAGCCAGTCCACAAGGTTCTAAAAAGGATGGTCTTTGTTAAAACCTACATGCTTCAGTCAATCTTTATGTACATTAAATCTTACAAGTCATAAATAGAAATAAAAAATAGTGTTGAGAAACTTGTGGCTGAGGAGAGTATAGTGGAAAAAAATGGGAAGATTGTTTAACCTATTCCATAATTGTAACTGTCCTTGTGATATACAAATAAAGTTGGAAATTTCCTTTAGGCAAGTATAGGCTGCTGTTTGGGGCATCTTGAGCTTTTATAAAGCAATGATTTTAATTTTCTAGATGTTATAACTTCTAAATAGTTTCATAAACTGAAATTATATCAATATGACAAACTCATATTTATTTTAATTGTTTTATTGTTATAATGCTGATTATAAAAATGTTTTTTTTTACTATGGTTGTGTCGAAATATGTGGTAATTTGGTTTACAATAAATAGTAAAATAGTGAAGGTATTTCTTAAAGAATATTTTTTATTTACAGACAAAAGATAGCTATTCTAGTTTGTTTAAAGAATTTGCAATATGTTTATTTCAAGCTATGTAAATGATGCTAAAATATGTCAGGAGTAAAAAATTATTCAAGATGGTTGTGGGCAAGTTATAAGGTTGCTTTGTCCGAGGAGGGCCCCATAATTTCATTAGCCTAGGAGGCCCCAAAAGGTCAAAATCCAACCCTGCATACAGAGCATATTAACTGTTTGATATTTTCTTTTAAATCTTTTCTTCCTTTAGTTTACACTGTCTGAAGAAATAATAAACCACTCTACATTAGCATCTTCTAATTTCTGTCTGGCTCTTACACCTGACATCTGCAGCTGGAGCCTCAACCTATGGGAATGGATAAGGAATCTTGATTCTCTGTTAGCCTTAGGTTAGTCTTTTAGTTGCTAAGCAATTCTGGTTATTTGAGTTTAATACCGGTGAGATATCTTGGAGATTTTACTTTGAATAAAATATTCTAAATTATCTAACAAAACCAAAAAATAAATAAATAAGCATTTTATATTCACTATTCTTAAGATCAATGATGCAAAACAATTGTTTGATGGAATTTCTTTATTCTATTTTTCTATTAATTAACAGCTTTTCATGTGTTAATTGTTTTAATTAACAACTTTCAAGTTCAGTGAGATTTAATTTCTATTAATCCCAACAATTGCTTCTATTAGTTCTATTGTTATTAATTCAGTAGCAAATAGAAAAGGTTTTATGTTCACTATTCTAAAATCACAAGGATTTAAAAAGAAATTGTTATGGCTATTTTTAGTGATATTTTATAATATATATGGGTAAAGATCTAAAAAGTTGTTTCTGCTTCAGGTAATACCATGACAGAATTATTTATTTATTATTATTGTAATTATGATGATGATGTTATTGATCAGCACTTCTGCCTAAGATCAGAGTGTAAAGTGCATCACACACACATGTTTTTGTTGAATTCAATCAAAAATATCTGTCTGTTTAATTTTTATTGTATTTCTCCTATTTTGAAATAAGGGGTACATTGGTATCAGAATTGTGGGTAAATTGTCTGAAGTTCATGTTTTGTTCTGTTTTTTGTTCAAGTTCTTTCAGCCATCTCATTCATTATCAAGAACTGGATGTTGTCAGTGAGGTATACAAGATTTTGTTGGCTACATCTTGCCATTTTTTTTTTTTTTTTTGAAACACTGGGATTTAAATTAATTCAAAGTGACATCATGTGTAAAACGGTTACATGGAGCTAGATCACAAAATTAGATAAAGATACTTTATTTAATGATGTCGCTTGTTTCTTTTGTATAATAATGACTTCTTGGAATTTGTCTTTTTTTTTTTTCAGTGAGTGTTGTGTGTATGTAATATATATATAACTTTATGTTGAAGTTTACTTCTGTATCACATTGAAACCTTAATTCCCATACAATCAGCAAAGTAAAGCAACATTGAGGCTGGTCAGTACCCTGATAGTTGACTGGTTGAGAATACCAGGGGGTGTATTGGATAATGGTTCAGAATTGTTAATCAGAGAGCCAAGTTCCAATTCTAGTTGGGTTTGTTAGATTCACTTATGTGCAAATACCTTTGGGAAAGGTATGAATCTGCCTCTTCTCTCTCAGATATGGGTTAAATAATAAAACTTACATCATTAAAGCATTATTATCTCAAAAATATTTTTACAATTTCAAAATATTTTATGGCTTTAAATAACCTACAAAGGGTTGATAATCTGTAGAAAACAAATCAATCAATCAACGTTTTATATTTGGATTATTAACATTCATTAAATAATTTGTCTGTTTATTTTTGGATTTGAATAAAGTTTTGTGAATCAAGATATAATGAATCACTTACTTGTCTTATAAAAAGAATTTTTGTTTTGCGTGTGTGTCTTACTGGCAAAAAAACACTTGAAAACTAAACTTTTTTTTAAAAAGTTTATTGAGACACACTATATCAAGTACACTATTTTTAAATAGGTATTTTGAAGTTACAAAATTAGTTTACACTTTTTGTAATTGTTAATAAAAATAAAAACAAAAGCCTGTTCTTTATCCCACACCATAACAGGTTGTTCTGCTTAGTTATTTGTGATATTTGCATGCTTTTTACAATTTTTTACATTTTATAGATAGTTATATGAAAAGTGAATCAGATATCAAAAAATCAGCTAACAAATTTGAATTCAAGAGACAGCATATATTTGCTAGTAAAAGTAATTGAAGTAAAATGACAAACCATTTTTGCTAAATAGGAAACAAAGAAGGGAAAATACTTTAAAAAAAAAAAAAAAAGGTGGAGGTTAAAATGTCTTTGTGTGTGTGTGTGTGTGTGTGTGAGAGAGAGAGAGAGAGGTTGGCTAACATTTTTAATACTTTGTTGTCTTTTTCTTTAGAATTTCTGTGACCAGAACAAGAGAGCAGGCTCAATATGAGTGCCCCTGTAAGCCAGCAGGCCAATGCTCCCCTTGCTCCTGCTGCCGCTGCTGCAGTTTCCCCAGCTGCTGTAGTGAAGAAATTCCCACCTGCTGATGGGAGTGATAACGCCAAAACTGTCTTACCCCTTCATCCAATTGCTACTTCTCAACCTTTCCAAGGAGGTATAAGTCTTACAATTTCCAATGGTGAGTTTAAAAATCATTTTTCTGTTTATTTCCTACACTGATTCTATTTAGACAAGCTAGTCCTCAACTTTGAACACTTACAAAAACTGGATTTAATACTGAAAATTTGAGTTCAATCCATTATACATAAAAGTGGCTGAACTTGATACTAATTTAAACTTAACAATAAAAAATACTATTGTTATGATAAAAAAAAGTTTTATTTGACTCTTAAACATTTAAGAGAAATTTATTACTGGCAACTAATATCTAAAACAGATTTTAAAAATGAATGTGGCTTACATCAAATTATTAGCATATCATTTTAGTCTAAATATAATGTTGATGGTATGTTTATTTTGAATATTCTATACTTAAAATAAACATACTCGAGCTTGTATTGTTCAGTATTAGTAACAATAAACTAACATCTATGTCCGTGGTTATGGAATTGGAAAAAAAACATATACCTTTCTTTTACTCAGTAAAATTACATACATCAGCTTTATTGTTTTTCAATAAAAGAGAAGCAGTTTTTCTCTTTTACTTTTTTTTGTTTATTTGTTTGACTTTTTTCAATCTTTTCTTTTTTGCTATTTCCCTTCCATTTTCTCTTTTCACTCTGTCATTTTTTTCTCCATTCTTCCCATTTCTTTTCTCCTTCCTTCCCATTTCTTTTCTCCTTTCTTCCCATTTCTTTTCTCCTTTCTTTCCATTTCTTTTTGCCCTTTCTTTCCATTTCTTTTTTGCCCTTTCTTCCCATTTCTTTTCTTCCTTCCCAATTCTTTTCTCCTTTCCCTTTCTTCCAATTCTTTTCTCCTTTCTTCCCAATTCTTTTCTCCATTCTTCCCATTTCTTTTCTCCTTTCTTCCCATTTTTTTTTTCTCCATTTCTTTTCCCATTTTCCCCAATTCTTTTCTCCTTTCTTCCCAATTTTTCTCCTTTCTTCCCATTTCTTTTCCTCTTTCTTCCCATTTCTTTTCCTCTTTCTTCCCATTTCTTTTCCTCTTTCTTCCCATTTCTTTTCTCCATTCTTCCCATCTACTTTCCTCTTTTTCTTTTTTCTTTCCTTTTTTATTGAAGCATAAAGGAGAAAAACCTATTGTAGGAAACACTTTGGAATCCAAATATTTTTTCTTAGTAATTCTATTTGTAGTTGTTTGTTTATTCTTTTTGAAAATTTACAAATCTGACATAGAAATATTTCATCTCGTATATAAATAGTATTTTCTCTCTGTTTGTGTGTATAGGAAGTTTGAAGTGATATAATCATTATCAACTTAAAAAATTGAACTTTGCCTTAACCAGAATTCCAACTATGACACTAATGCCCATGGGAGAGATCTGAGTTCAACTCTTCTGACAATCTCTGTCCTTGCTAGTCATCTTCAGTATAAATGTTATCATTGGTAGACAGTTCACAATCAAGTCAGGGATTGTACTCTGCAATCCAGTACTGCCTACTGAATAAGCCTCTGGATTTGCCTAATGGCCTCCTCTAATCACAAGATGACACTGCCAACTAATAAGATTGTAAATCAAATAACTAGAATAGTTGCAATTTTTTTTAGAAGTCTATCAAGTTTTTCAGTTAAACTTATTAATGTTTGGAAATGTCTTTTGCACAGCTCCAGACTAACTTTTTCACTATCGTTCTAGAACTGTCCTGAATTACAACATTGTTTTGAAAAAGTTTTTAAATAATTAAAATATTTAGGAAATTGATCTGTCCAATCTTGAATCGTTTATTTGTTTTTAATGCAAGTAATACAGGTTGTAACAAAAATTAAAACAGGTGAAATATTAAAGTTTAAGAAATGAATAAATACAAAAACAAATTAGTTAAAATTTTACTGGAATTTTTATAAAAATCAAAATTTTTTTCATTTAAATATTTTGGTTAAATCACATTGAATAATGTCAGATGAAAATACTTTTATCAAAATTTTCATGATCAGAGTAACTTTTATCATATTTTAAGAATTGTACTCTATGCATTCATTTTCCCTTAAAAAGAATATTAGTGCTTTCCAACTATTCACAATCCCAAATGGTTTTAAAGTCTTTGTAAAAACATTTTAATGTACAATTGCCTGCCTCACGTCATAACTAAATTTTCCATGTTTGTTTACTATTTCTTAAACTCTTTCTTGTATTTTCAATTTAGTTTATAAGCAGAAAATATAACATGTAAATGTTGTTAATGTTTCTTTCAAGTTTATTAACCAAAAATTGATTGATTAAATCCGTTTTTGTTTGTGTATTTCTTTTGTATTTGTCTTGTATGATAATGTTTTTGAATGTATGTCTGTTAATTTCTGTCAGGATCTATATAGAGATTGTGTATAGAAGTAATAATAAATTCAAAGAAAATAATCACATTAGAAGCTGTTTTGGTAATTTTATCTATTTGTTGCTTATGGCAGGAATTTTGATTGTTTCATTTAATGGATAAATGCTCAAGTTAATTTTCCAAAATTTTATTCTTTTTATAGAGGGATAATCAGAAAATCTGACCATCATATTTTGTCTTTTTTTTTTTTAAAAACTTGTAGGATAACGACATATATTTCTGTAAAATTCAAAGAAAATGAAAATTGAAACGAGAAATAAAAATGTATAAATTGTTTAAAGTAGATTTTTCTTTTTCTTCCCTTACAAAAAAAAACTCCAAAAAACTGAAAGATAATGTGTGCATTTACAGTAATATAATTAAATGAAAACTCAGATACTTCGATTAAATAGACTCCTTGATGATTTATTATAAAAATACAAGAGAAATAACTGCACAATAATTTCCCTATGACTTGTACTCTGAAAAGAATAAAAATGATGAGATTTTGGTCAGTCTGAAAGTGGAATAAAACATTAGTAAATAGCATTGCTTTCATTTCTGAATTAAACACTTCATTAAAGGCAAAGAAACAATAGTGTCCAGTTCTGTTTTATTAACCAATGTCATCAGAAAGATGTTTTTGTATAATGAAATGGGAAATTGAAAACAATTTGTAAAGTAGCAAATGTTGCAGAGCATCTCCAAATAGTCCAAGAACAACAGTATTCTATCTTCTTTCTATAGCAGATCAGCAATAAAAGACCAGTGAACATTCAGTAGGTAGTGGAGAGAATGTTTGGGTTTTGGTTGACTGTCATCTTTTCAGATGAGTCCTCATTTCCTTAATTTTAAAAACTGGAGATGAATATGGGTCCTGACAAAAAATTTTTTTTGAACTGATTGCAGCCCCACTATCAGACATAATAGTGAATTTTTAATTTTGGAGTGAACTTTTGTTCAGAAATTCTAGAATGCATGGGGAATATCAATTTAAAGAAATATATAATGCTTGCAATATTTATTGAGGGTCACAAGTGTGTGTGTAACTTAGTGGTTAGGGCATTAGTATTTTGACCATGAGACCGAGGTTCAAATCTCACCTTGGTTGATATGTCAGAGATGATCTTAATAATATCAACCTGTGGAGACTGTTGGGAAGTTCTTCAAAATGATAGCATAGATTGACCCAAGCCTTCTGGGTGAAACTGATTAGATGAAACTGTTTGGAAGCTGTCAATGGTTGTGTTAGCAGGAATTCGCAGGTTATCATGACTGAGGATTTGAGCACACTGGCTTTGTTCAGCTGCTGATCATGCCTAGATTATGTGCCCCCTGTACCTAAGGTCTACTCAGTATAGTTTCAGTATAAGCCTCAAATTGACTCTGTGGTTGGTCAAGAAAAAAATGTGTCTGAGCAGGCGTCTGCAATAGGGATTAGATAGCCTCCTTAATGTCCCAAAACTGAAAGATAGCTACTACTAAAAGAAGCACATTTTGTGGACAATGGTGCTCCATTCTGTACAGTAAAATGGCTTGAGAATGGCAGGTTGAAAAAAGTAAAAAGTGATACTCGTGTCTATGTCTATGATTCCTGTTGAACATGTCTTGGCTATTTTGAATTAAAATTGAGTAAATTGTGTGTATTGCCTTCTATGTAAGTTTTGCTGTGTGTTTACAATGCAGTCTAGTCTGAGATCAAATAAGAAAAAATAGATTTGATAAATTTAATTCTTGAAAGAATAAAAACTTAAAGAAAAATTGCTAATGCATTCTTTTTTTAATTGTTTAAACTACTGAACAAATGCTTGTTTGAAAATTGGGGTATATATTTCCTTTTATCCATAATATGGTAAAAGTAGTTGGATTTTTGAAAAATATATAATATAATTCTACAGAATAAATTTGCCTGAAATTAGCACAAGCAATGCATTTGAGAATCTGGAAAAAAAAAAACAGATGAAAAAAATATTGTGAATATTAAGAAGTAGATAAAATCAAAATAAAAGCAAAGTAGATAATTTATTTATAAAATCTTTGTAATTATGGCTTGGAGACTTGACAAACCCATTGCAGCATTCATATTGAATGTTGTATATTTTAGCAAATATCTTTTAAATCCACAAGAATTCTATGTTCCCTCTAAAGAATAGACATCTTTTAAAATTTGCTATGAATTTTCAGTGTGGTTTAAATGGCTGGCTTGCTTTACTTGAGCATCCTCATTTTGTTCTTATAAATCTTTTCAGAACTGATTTTGCAATATGATTCAAATCATTGACTTTTGGGAGGTCTATTCATCCTTCATTGACTTCTGTGTCAACAATGGCAAATCATCTTGTAATATAGGTTGATACTTTTTTTCATTAATCGTTCTTTCAAGAAAGGTCTTCAAAAATGGCATTTGAGACCTCCCCCACAGTATTATCCCATCTCCATGTTTTTACTGTTGTCTGGTATCTCTTGGATTGTAAAGGAAACCATATATGTTCTACAATGGTTGTAGGTTGTGACTGAAATGTTTCATATTTATTTTTGACGAAAGAATATTTTTTCTAAAATTAACATGATTTTACAAGTATTCATGAGCTGATATTGGCCTAATCTCTCTGCGTCTTCTCCTTGGTACAGTTAATCACTATTAGTTCTTTTGGTAATTGATGTTTTAATAATGAACAGTTGTTTCTTTTGGGAAGGCATTGGAAAGTCAATACATTGGATGTCGTTTGACTTTTCATTTCATTTTTCTGGATTCTCATTCAGTTGTTTTAGTCAGTGCATCACTTGAATGGAAATTTCTGATGCTTCCAAACTTCTTTTACAATTGACTCGATGCTACTAACATGTTCTGGGCAATGCTCATCAGTATTGTTTCATTATTCCATCAGGCTTACAGCCATATGTTGAAACCCTGGTTTTCATACAATTATTGGAGTTAAGCAACTGGTCAGTATCTAGATGAGTGATTGCTTGAAAATACCAAGTGCTGTAAGCTTGGATGTGTGGTTAGTGTAATGGATAATGACTTGTCTAATTGTAAATTAGAGAGCTGAGTTCCAATATCAGTCAAGTTCGTTATATTCATTTATGCACAAATACCCTTGGGAAAGTTATGAATATACTCCTTCTCCCCCATCTATGGGTTAATTAAGTAGGACTTACATCAGTAAATCATCATTATCTCCAAAAAATTCTTACACTCTAGAAATATTTTCTGGTTTTAAATAACCGGAAAATGGTTGATAAGCAGTGAAAAACAAATTAATCAATCATTTTGTCTCCTTGTTATGGGTATTAGCACCTTAACTGTAAATGACTGATTTCTTTAAAGATCATGGAGCAGATGGTGTTAAGTTTCTATTGGGACATTATAGAACTTTGTATTTATAGATCAAGTTCAAATACTGTAATCATTTTCAGATAAGTAGGTTACAAACAATTTCTTATAGTGTCTTATTACTTTTTCTTACTAATTTTGTTTTTTTTTCTAAAAACATTTCTTCATTCATCAATGTTAATTTCTTTCTTTAGATTTTTCAAATTCCATACTAAAATACATTGTGTTAATTTCAGGCAAATTTATACTGTAGAAATAAAGGAAAAAATCTTTTTTTTTTTAGTCTCATGATATTCCTTTCCACTTCCTGACTATGTTTTTATGTTACGAACTGAAACTATACATACTACTATAAGTCGAGTTTACAATCTTTCTAATTTTTAAATGATACAATTTGTTACTTTAAGTGGGT